ACATCAGAGGTTAGTATTTGTTCATGGGCCTTGGCAAGGGGAAGCTCAAGGTAATGGGAATACAATAGATCCAAGTTTGAAAGTCCTACAAGCTTTGCCTCTTTATCATCATCCTTCAGAGCATTTTTTTAAACAACATAAGACTAGGATGTGGCATTAAGAAGATCTAACTGAAAAGACAGAACTTCACCTTCACCTTCACCTTCAGGTCATCACCAGCCTCCAAGTTTGAAAGAGCTCCGAGCTCTGCCTCTTTATCATCATCCTTCAGAACATTTTTTTAAACAACATAAGACTAGGATGTGGCATTAAGAAGATCTAACTGAAAAGACAGAACCTCACCTTCACCTTCACCTTCAGGTCATCACCAGCCTCCAAGTTTGAAAGAGCTCCGAGCTCTGCCTCTTTATCATCATCCTTCAGAACATTTTTTTAAACAACATAAGACTAGGATGTGGCATTAAGAAGATCTAACTGAAAAGACAGAACCTCACCTTCACCTTCAGGTCAACACCAGCCTCCAAGTTTGAAAGAGCTCCGAGCTCTGCCTCTTTATCATCATCCTTCAGAACATTTTTTTAAACAGCATAAGACTATGATGTGGCATTAAGAAGATCTAATTGAAAAGACAGAAGCTCACCTTCAGGTCATCACTAGCCTCCAATTCTGAAAGTGCTCCGAGGTCTTCCTCTTTGTCACCATCCTCAGCATCATCCTTTACCTTCAAAGATTTTTTTTAACAACATAAGACTATGATGTGGCATTAAGAAGATCTAGTGGAAAAACAGAACCTCACCTCTGGGTCATCATCAGCATGCTCATTCACCTGGCGCGCAAATTGAGATGCACTATCAATGGATGATAGAAAATATCCAAAGTCTTCTTCATTCCCTCCATTGTTGTCACCCTCTCTTCTGTGCCTTAAAATCGTTCTGAGAAGATGATGCCCACTTCCAGAAATCACAAACCTCCAATCTTTCCCGTCTATCAAGACTGTCTGCCTCAACACTCTTCTCAATTCCCGCCTGACTTTCCGAGGTGCATGCTTACGGATCTTATTGATTCCACCAAAAAAATCCGCTCTTGCCAAGGAGAACTTCAAGGCTAGGTGGCCTTCAACTTTGTGACAAAAATTCGAAAACTGAATTTCTGACCTAGTATCTCGACCTGATTCTTCTTTAAGTGTCTTTATCAAGGGATTGAAAAATGCTGGGTATCCTACTCCCTTTACTTCGAAGAGAGACAGCACTTCATTGACATATGTTGTGTAATCATTCAGTATGGCCGCATCAGAGAACTCACCATAGGCTGCGTTGATCCAAGCAGTCAACATAGTATGAAAACCAGACCTGACCAGAATGCTTTTTCTATCAAATTTGCCATTCCAGCTAACCATAACTTTATGGCCCTCTATAATCTGCAGCAGCAAATCTCTTGCAATTATTCTGCCAATTTTTCTTGTATCCGCAACTTCCAATGATGTACCCAAAGCAGATAGATTCTTTTTTTCTGCAAAATGATTTCCAGGAATTTTTGCATATTCCTCAAGTGATCCGACATAATCAGTATCATCACCCTTATTACTAGTGAGATTAGTTGCAGGCCATTGAGCTGTTGTAGGTGAAACCCGTTCACTCGAAACCTGAGAGACCAGTTGATCAGGGGGGGGCAAATGGAGGGTAAACTGACATAGTACTGGGCTGATCCTGAAACAAAAAGAAGCCGCTTCAAGGTTACAGCTAGGTAATTTTACAATATTAAAACATAGAAGCAGGTATTAAGGTTTCAGCAGGTTTCAGCACTAAGAAACAGTAAAAATTCCTACTCAAGAAATGCAGTGAAACAATCTATCTATTCTAGGAACTCGGCTATATTCTAACGTACAAAGCATTTTCAACAAGAATAATGGAATATGGCACATAGACATACAAATAGTGATGCAAATTCTCTTTTTTGGGATAATTTCCTAGACAGAGACATCAAAATGAATTAGTTTAGTTTCAAAGTAAGGAAAAGAGAAAACAAATAAACTAGTGAACAAACTGTTCCCACAGGTAGAAACAGAATTCAAAAGAAATCAAACTTGCATACTTTTGACTGAGAACAAAATATTTCGTATAAATCAACAATGTATTGCACCTATAAACTAAATGAAATGTCATACTGTTTTCTGGTGTAGCACTTACCAAAAGTGTTATGTTTGATTCAGCAACTGGAACGAAATCGCCATCCACAAGCACACCACTACCCTCCTAACAAGGCCATGATTGAGAACATAATAAGTGTATTTCCATCACATAAGAAATAATGAACAAAGGATAATAGCATACCAAAGTGAGTGTTTCCCACACCACAGGTGTTCCTATATAATAGGAATCAGTAACTAGCACATAGAGGTGTTCTTTGACCTGCACAATCATAAAGGGTCAGGAGCCAGCTGAATACAACTACTGCTCCTATCAGAAAGCCTTTTTCGGCAAAATATTTACAGCCTTTTTCAGCAATACAACTACTGAATTGACGTAAGACTGCTAGCATAAATATCTCACCTTAATTAAAGTGCTGCAGTGATTATGCCAGAAAAGGACACACGGTACATTCTCTTTCAGGTCATTGTGTAAGCAACGCAGGCTACAGGATTAATGTATTGTGGTTAAATATATATTTACAATAGCATAGAATAAATAACTTCACTACAAGAAGACACTGCACGCATAGTTAAGGTATTTTACCCATTGGAAGTAAATTGAGAGCCTGTTAAAAGCTTTCTCGCCTGATCAACTACACAAAAGAACAAATAATAAAAGTAACATCAGAAGTAGATAACTGATGTACAAATAATTCGTAAGTGAAGAATATTAGTACAAACCATTCTGAAACGTATCGTCAGAGGCCTCAATCGAAAGCGAAGAGTATGTATATGATGATAATGCAGCAAACCCAACAACCTAATGATCAATAGCATGGTATTAGTCTTCATCCAGTAATAAGCTCTCAAATATCATACATAGCCACACGAGTTTTGCAGTAAGCACACATCGAACACAACTTACATCAGGATCTGGAAGCCACCCATGATATATAGGAACATCAAGATAACGAAGCAGAATAATTTCTGGCGTTTCCTTGAAGCAATCAGTTCTGCAATGTGAACATCCCAAACATCAGAACATAGACAGCACCTCACCCCGCCCCCAAAACCCAACTGTCAAACGACAATCTGGATATATAATGTCACACAATCACCTATTGAAGGAGACGTCCACGTCTAAGCCATCCGGAAGAACTGACAAAACCTCAAGTGCATTCCTTGGCAATTCAGAATATGGCAAACCTCCCTGACAAGGATGCAAAATGAGAGTAAAGAAACCAAAAACTGAAGATTTCATTAATGGCAAGTCTAAAGAAACTGAAGTTATGTAAGTTTTACAAACCTTGTTTTGTTCAAGGTACATTTGGAGAAGACTAATCAGATAGTCCTCCTGCACCTTTGTTATATTCGGTTCAAGACTTATCACACCTCTAAGTAAGAGTACGTTGCCTGTGGCACGTGAAAATGCAGGGTAAACTTAAACCAAGAGGAAATAAAACCAAAAAAAAGTAAAAGCGGCTCTCTTACATATCCCGATTAAACCGCACGGGCCATTGGACTCTTGATGGATAATATTAAATTGGCGGCCTTTGAAATTAATCTGGCTTGTCTTGTGAAAGCGCTTAGGGGTGTTGAGCAATGGAATGTCATCTTCACAGGTATTAGAAGTGCTGGGCACTGAAATATCAGATTGATGGGTATTCTGTAGTGCCTCCAAAGCTTCACCATTGTCCTGTAATGTGGGAAAACAAAAAAAAACCGTTTATGATTATAGCATAATATACTTGTACACAGAAATTCTAATAAATAATATATGACAAACATACACTGCAAGACGAAATATCAAATCTATCTACCAATGCTGTACTTACAGCTGCTCTACTTTCTCTACCAAGCTTCGCAATTTTCTTAACCTGTTTTTCTCAGTTTTTGTTACTGGCTGAACTCTCAAAATTGAAGATGGGATTTGAGTTAGCATAACATGTGTATTAGTATTAATCGATTAAAATAAACTAGGTATTGTAGCATTCCTTACCAATGTTGTAAAGCTTGGGTCTAACTCAACTAGTGAAAAGTTGCAGTCCATAAACGACCCCCCTTGGTATACCTCTTTCAGTATTTCCCAAAAAATATGAGTATTTTTATCTACAAACCTCATATCATCAAGCAAGAGATGTATGGCTCCTTCCACCTTAGTAGCAGTAATAAAAGAACCATTCCAAAACAGGACACATGGCTCCTTCTCTTTAAGTTCTTTCTGCAGTTGTGTTAATCTGCAATATTGCAAATTTTTCATTCAACATACCTCCATGGTAGCATAGAATTTGAAAAAACGAAACACAAATATATACTTTATTACCCTTGTGGTGTTAGCTGAGGGCCTCCATGAGCTAACATTTTGTCCTAATAATAAATATTAAACTATTAGACATGAATCAACCAAATAAGATCTAAAATCTACATTTGCAGCAACATATTCAATTTACAACTAGCATATGGAAAAAAGACCACATTGCTCACGTTTGTATCCACTAAGCACCCATGGTACAACGAAACTCCAAGGTGTTTAAATAACGCATGTTGTGCGGAATTCACGAACCCATTGATACTGCAATGTCAAGATTCCCAAGGATAAGAATATGCACAAGCCCACATACGAACTACTAACCACAGTTAGCAAATTAAACATGAGAATCACCTATCAAATTCCACATTTATCGATAAAATTCCTGAAAGTTCTGGAAGCACATCAAGAACCTTTTTCTGAGTATCTGAATATTCCAATCTGCTTTGAAGCTGCAATTAAGTGGAAAACCAAGGCACTGTGAGTCATATGTCTATTAATTTCTTAAATGGTAAACTTATAAGACAGTTGCTAACGTCGAATTTTTCGTTGCCACATAAAAGATTATGTTGGACAAGATGAAGTAGATGGCCCTCTGAGATCTGGGTCATATTTGCTCCCAAAGATATCTTGCCCCCAAGCAGAAGAGCATTGCCTGCAGTGGCACATACAAAAGTTAAATAAATAAAGAGAACAAAAAACAACTAAAAATCAAGCTAGATTCACTTACACAAGGCAACAAGAGTGCATTTTGTATTCCTATCCTTGTGGACAATATGTGTGTTATGATCCAAAAACTTGATCCCTCTTATCTTGTACCACGTTGTGGGATGGCTGGGCTTTAAATCATCTTCTGCCTGACCCCTGGTTTTCTTGGTTGCAATCTGAACATGCACATGCTGAGTTAGCAAAGCATTCATCAGCTAAAACTTACCAAATAGCAAAAATAAGTAATACATCCATGAGGCACAAAAAAGTAGCTGGTTTTTATCTAATAACATACAAATCCAACAGATGACAGCATGGTTAGTCTAAATGTCATATTTGAGTTTGATCTAAAACAATACCATGCAAGGCTACAAAGTATACAATAAGGAGAGTACGCTATGATCATATTAGCCTAGATGGGTTCCTATTCCTATACATTAGCCAAACTTTTAGCACAGCACCAACCTTATGTCTCACTCTTAACAGAACTACAAAGAACAGTATAGAAATATCTATCTGGAAATCAAGTCCTCTTCGCACAAAAAAAAAGATAGCTAAAAGACCCTGAATCATGCTAAGAGGGACGAATAGTATATCAAAGCTCTCTTACACTGTGCAAAGAACTAAACAAACTTCGATGTAATTTATTCATAGAACTGATTTTCAGTCCAGCTTGAAAAATATTACCTCAGTCCAGGTACTTTTGTGGATATCAACTTCATCTTTAACTATTTTGTTTAACTTCTCTTGTTTTAACTTCCCTTTAGTAGGAAAAATTTCAGGAATGAAATCAGCCATCTCTTCAATGCATCCCTTCACAAGCCTGTTAAGAAACAAAATTTCATCTGAGCACGAGTTCATAAGCAGTAAATGACAGGTATTTTTTCTATTGGCCTAAACAAAGAAACCACTGTCAGTATTTTGTCTAAACATACGAACAAAGGATATCACGCTTATTCTTACTTAGCATAGGAGCTTTGATGTATCCCCAGTTTTTCAATGCTGAGTTCAATCCCCCGCCTATCGATAAGCTTAAGGAGATACTCCCTTCCGTGATCGCCTAAACAAGATGTAATATGTTATCCAACTAGATCACATAAGAGGTAAATGATATCGTAAACACTGCAGCAAAATGTAACTTTGACCAGCACTTCTATTTCGGTACTCGCCCTTTAGTAAAATCTAAGGTCTACAAATTTTACCGTATGTCAGACCTTGTAAATTTAACCATCAGATCTTTAGTCTATTTCAAACATATCACAATTGCACATTCAAAATCATAATTAGTGTGCTTATTCACATTTCAGAAGTAATTATAAAGTACTCCCTCCGTCCCAAAATAAGTGTCTCAAGCTTAGTACAAAGTTGAGACACTTATTTTGGGACAGAAGAAGTAATTTGTTTCTGCTAATTAGCTGTATTAATCTATTTCCTCTAATAAGCTTTGTTAATTGAGTTTTTAAGAATATGAATTGATTTGTTTGCATGCTTGAATTGTCAAGATTAGCGCTCGAGAGAAATACGCAGTGCAGATCATATTAGATGATATGTAGTAGTAATAACGTAACAAAGTTATTCAAACTAAAACCCGTTGCATTAGACTCAGTGCATTACTTGTTTCTGCGGTCTCTGGACTTTTTGTGATCTCATCTGATAATGTATGATACTCATTTGTGTCCCTTCTAGTTTATTCAAACTAAAACCAGTTGCATTAGACACAGTGCATTTCCTATTCTCAGATTATTCAGATGGTGATCTTATTTCGTTCCCCCAAGAACCATGATTGGTACGACAGTTGATCTTTTCTTTTCTGGTTTATTTCCTATGGTCTTCGGATTTCTGATGGCTGGCTGCTATGTGAAAGAAGCCTTTGGGTTTCTCCTTTCATATTATGTGAATTAATCACTATGTGTATTCATGTCCGTTCCCTTCTCCCTTATCATGGCGGTGATTTGTTTCTTTTTCCTTCACTTATGACCGGTGGTCTGGCTTGCACTCCAGCTTCCTTTGCTTCATACATGTGAATTATGCACAAAAACAAACTTGACTATAATATGTAATACATGCTCCAGAGTGCCCTCTTGTAATGCTGCTAAAAATCTTCGGACCATCCTTGTAAATTGAACTAGCATAGTACTGCCCTGATGCCCTATAATGCAGTGAACGCAATTTGCACTCTGACTGTGAGTACGTAATACATTTCTGCAATGTGCTGTTGTGTGCCATCAGGTGTTGCTTCTTTTACATTATATATTGTTTGGCTGTGTTTGGATGCTCTGTGTATTACTTGTTTCATTTGGACCCATTGACTGGTGCCTGCACTGCACTCGGTTGAGACATTCCTTCTTTTTACATGTGTGACCAAACTAAATTGGCTACTACTCCCTCCGTCCCATAATATAAGTGTAACACACTTATATTATGGGACGGAGGGAGTAACTATTTATGTTCATCCGTTGCATCTCTCGTGTCACGCTGCTATAGACGCTTTTTTTACATGTTTTCCTTACGGTATTAATTCAAGTATTAATGCATATCATGTGCTTCTAAGACACAGCACAACACACACAGAGCACCGCCTCAAAAGGCGCACCCAACCACTAGTATTAGACTGAGGAAGTACCAAATTCCTTAAAAAGTGTTCATGATGAAAAAAACTCATATGCTAACGCAGAACCTTACTAACACTTACCGATTTGTGTACCATAAGTAGTAGCAACCGATATTATCCTTAAGTGATTCGCGATAATTCGATAGGCCATTCCAATTTGATCAGTATCTTCAGGACAAGTAACTGCTTCAGAATCAACATAAAAATTGTATGCTTCGATTCGTTCGCATGCATGCTGCACTCACAAAAAGCATATTGTACCATAAGGTGTCATGTGTACATGAACACAACAGGGAAACGACTTCATGTCTGAATGTGACAAACATACCTCATGAATAAGGCCCAGTATTGAAGCAAACACATCTGTAAAATAAAAGGCCATTGCACCTTGGCAGATAGTAGTTACATGCTCAAAGTCCATTGCTGTTATAATATGTTTAGCTGGCAAATCTC